TGTGACCGATAAACAGTGCCGAACAGTGCTATTTTCGTAAATGAGGAATAACAAGGCAGTTATTTTTTTCTCCTTCTCGTCAACAGATTGAATCACATTCTCTCCGAAGAACCCCATTTTGCAAAGGTGTTCCAATGTCCCGTTGGGTCAACAATGCGTCCGAAGACATCGTGCTCGGCTATCTTCTAACGGAACTGCAATCAGTCATTCCTGGCCTCCGTTACCACTGTCAAAGTCATTTCTCCCCGTCTTACCTCGGGTCCCCGACAGTTACGCGTGCGTGCATGCTTCCATGGGGGGGGGCATTTGTACACGTATTTTTTACAAATATATGTGGAAAAAAACAAAGAAAAAAAAACACTATTAGGAACACGAATTCACTGGCACATTACTCTATGCATTCTGATTTGCCTATCTTCCATCCAAGCCAAGTTATATATACCCTCACGTACACCTCACACACAGACACGCACGTGCACGTGTACGCACATATGCACGCACTTGACCAGCCGATCACAAACGACACGAGCGCGACAAAGTGAAACACGTGATTTCGTCCTTTCCCTTTTCCAACACCATTGTTTTTACGTGATCCCTTGATTTCTATTTCAATCTATTTCACAAATCTGTTTTTGAATAAGCCAAAATATACATATATATTTGGTTTACACCTACCCTATGAATTGATCGATTTTTTGATCAATTTGTGGTTCAAAGGACTGCATGGTTTGGTTTCGAATCATCGGCATGATTTACGCAGTTAGCAATTTGTCAAATAACAATTTCTTCTCAGATCGACGTTCGATTTCATCGGTTCATTCTCGTTACACTAAAACCCTCAAATGAAGTCATTTAATCCCGTATAAATTGATTAATCTGTTGCAGGCAGCGCTCCGGATCACATGACAACCGTTTCACCTCATCCAAATTATCAGTACACACAGTACTGAACAACAACAAACGAGGTCACTTATGGTGTTTTTTGTGTGGACCTGACAACGGGTCACTCGAATTTGTGAAATCCATTGGCAAATTCGATACGGTCGATACGCCGTATTCTTGTTGTCATGGAAGATTTGTTGCCACTCCCCGGGATTGTACCCATGCAAACAGATTGAGATGGTACAATCTGTGATTGGGGTCCGTTGGTTAGCCAATGAGGTCAAATTTTGCAGTTCAACGAGGGACCCAATTTGCTGATGATTTATTGTTACTTGAACTGCTATTCAACCACACACATCCCATCATTTCAACTTAAAAAGACGTATACTGGTTGTGATTTGAACTAACTATCCTCAGAACTTCAACTTCACGCACAATCCTGCATCAGTTCATCCAACTAAACATACACTCCTAGAAATTCGAATGTGAAAAAGATCAGTGCTATCGGTGTGGCTTCGTAGCTCAACTGGTAAAGCATGCGCGTACAAGGCGTAGGCGGTGCCCAAGCGTGGGTTCAAATCGACACACAATCGAAATACAAACTCCTAGAAGTACTGGACTCAAGTTTTGCTCTCTCACATTAGCGCTCATCAGAAGGGCATATCCACCGTTCAGCTACCTGGGGTTTTGAGTTCCGGACCCATCAGACATAGAAGGCACGTAGTAGTGTTGTTATATTCCGAAAAGGCGGTGCTGGTCGAGGGGAGTTCTTTTCTGCAGAATACAGATGGAGGATCACTAATTTTGGATGCATAACACGAAAAGCTCATCAGAAACATGCCTTCGCAGCACATCACGGCACATGGGCAAATGGGATAGAGGCAGTGTTTATTCTTCCCAAATATATTACTTGGTCCTTGATGGGCTTGTTCTATATTTAATCACCGAAAGTTACCGACTACTCACAAGTGAGTAGTATCTCACAACAGTAGTAGTAGTAGTAGTAGTAGTAGTAGTAGTAGTAGTAGTAGTAGTAGTAGTAGTAGTGAGTAGTAGTAGTAGTAGTAGTAGTAGTAGTAGTAGTAGTAGTAGTAGTAGTAGTAGTAGTCGCTTAGCTCATGATAAGAACCACGCAATACGATTCACGGAATGCGAATCAAGGATTAGTAATCACGGACTGGATCACGTAAGCACTGGACTTCATTGACACTAGCGCGCAATATGTCACGTAACTGAGGCGCAAGGAGAAGGCCAAAGGAGCAGGAGTTCATTTATTAGACGAAATAAGGGAGAATAGATAATATGCACAAATTATGCTCATTGGTTTTCCGGGCTCCTACCAATCGCGATCTAATAGGCCTGGGATCGTTCTACCCCTACGGTCTCTGATTGGCTGGTACTATCTTACTATGGTATGTAGCTAATATCGGTGACAAGTACGCGCGTTGTGGACGTCACCCGTGAAGTTTGATTGATCGCAGTTGTCCAAAAACTGTAACGCGTGGTTCCAGGGTACGCGTCATCTCGTAGGCCCGGATCACCACAAATCTCATCTCTCAAAGAGCCTCGTAGATTTGGTTTGATCGTCTGATGGATCGTCGGAGTGGCAGTGGGGCATTCTCGTCGATGGACGTTCCTGGAATAGGGAGCTGCGGACTTTGATCTTCTTTAGTCGGTAACGGCGTATCACAAGGCGGCCTTTCTTGGGTCTTTTCTGCAGAGTCTTCATCAAAAGTAGGAGTTTCATTGAAGTGAAGCTGAACGATGTGGCGTTG